ATAGTTATTTTTTTAAAAAAAATATTCAATAATTTTTATTATTTCATTGACATGAAAGAATATAACTCTAAGTTGAGTATTGGCACAATTTGACTTTTAACATTAGAAAGTATATATCTTTAATTTTAATTATCTTCTACCATATTTTTCAGTTGTCGAGTTAATGGGACTAATATATGCAATAATTTCAAGATAATCAGTTAATATATTTTACTAAATTAGAATTGAACTAATATCATTTTTTGTATTAATTTAGATAAATATAAGGTGGTATATATTCAAAAATAATTCTTAATCATTTCACTTTTAAAATTCCCACATTTCTAATGTTCAAATATAAAATCTTAAAAAATAACAATAATTCATTTATTACTGAAATCACTCTGTTAATTAATATCACATAGAATAAAACACAAAGGAGATTGAAGCGTTCAAAAAAAATTCACCGCCCCGATTGGTCCGGCGGTGGAAATTAAAACAAAAATGGAAAATAATCAGAGTCAACGGAGTTTGATGAATAATGGGCCCACTCTTTTTTATTTGACTTAAATACAATTCCACGTAGGATTGGTTCGTACACCCGAAGCTAACGGTCCCACTCCGTCGGGCTTTTCTCACGTGGAATGAACTGAACCTTGCATCCTTCTTAACCACTGCTTATTTTGCCTTGGTATCTTTTGAACTATTAACTAGTAGCAAGGAAAAGATAAATACATCACTCATAATTGTGATGAGACATAAGATTCAAACTTTGAATCTTAACGTCTACATTTGAAATAAATCAGGTAAGAAAAATCGTCTCGTAATAGATTTATATAAAATTCAATTCGAAATAATCAAAACAAATCAGATCTTAACGATTAATCTTAGAAAAATTAGTGATAAAAAAGATAAGATTTCACTCAGAATTACGTGACAAGACATTAGATTATTTAAGTAAGATCAAAAGTTTGAATATCAACATCTATGAATTAAATAAATTTATTCTCGTAATAAATTTATATAAAATTCAATCTAAAATAATTAATTGTTATTGGATATTAGTGATTAAACCTAAAAAAATAATATAAAGAGGATAATACATCACTCAAAATTAAGTTTAGGCAAGCAGGACCCCGAGTTGGCGCAACTCAAAAGTGGTGGAGGAACTTAAGAACATGGACGTTGCTCACGATGGAAATGCTTTCGAGGGTTCTTTCACGCTTTTGGATAGCTCGTCAAACAAGGGTTTTGTTGTGGGATCGAATGTATCGCGAAATGTAGATGAGGGGACTTTTTCTAAGTCTGCTGGGTGTGGTTCTGAGGAGTCGTTGACATTGTCGTGTCGGTCCTTTACCAAAAAATTAAAGTTGAAGAAATTTGGATCAATGCTAGAAATTCAGGGCAAAGTTCTCTCTAAAGCGGAGAAAAGAAGACGAGATCGAGCGTTGAAGAAATTAAATTTGAATCAATCCGATCTTTTATTTGATTTATCGGGCACCTCTATCTCAGATTCCGTTTTAAAACAAAGGTGGGCTGAAGCTTTTATTAAAGCGCATGAGGCATTGTCTATAAATAGACAACTCGGTCTTATGGTCGGTAGTCCTGAATTGGTGGTTCTTTAGAAGCTTTTGTCGTTAGTCTCGAGTTGATGTTATTTAGAGTATTGTTGGGATTGTTTAGGCGAATGTTTTGATCTTGGAGATTTTCTTAGGTTCGTCTGATTGCCAAAGGGGGATTGGATTGATTGCGTTTCGTTCTGGAGACGTTTGGGATAGCTTTTTGGAGCGTGGGTCTTTCTATTCGTGACCTGTGTTATCCCATTGATTTTCAGGTTTTAGTTCGAAGTTCAAGGTCTATCTATGTTTCAACTGTTAATGTTGAAACTCTGTTTTGGTGCTTCTCCGCAGGAGGTTTGTGCTAAGTTGTTTTGTTGCTCTTCACTTTGTGGTCTTTTTCATTGGTTCCCATCTCTGTTTGTACCTGTGTGTATAGCAGCAGTTTAGATGTGTTTTTGTAGTAGCATGTGTCTCAGGCAGTGTTTGCTTTCTCATGAGCTTCTTGTTCTTTCCACCTCATGTTTCACTCTTTTTCCTCTAAATAAGTTTAGGGGGTTTTTTTAATGAGGTTCATGGGGTGTTGTACCTTGTATATTCATTAATACAAAGTACTCATCTTTAAAAAAAAGAAAAAAAAAGAAAAGAGAGTTTAAACATGTAAAAAACGTGATTCAATTAATTTAGTCTATGTTTAAAGATTAGATTAATTAGTAGAAACTCTCTTGTGTTTCTCAAATCATCTCTTTGCTCCTTCTCGTGACTCTACTAATCTCTTTTGCCGTATCATGGTACCTATCTTAAAATAATATGTATGGCGTCGTAATGAAATATTTAATTGGGTACGTAGATATTAAAGTTTCATTTAACATTAACAATTATATATTTTTAAATCTAATATAAAAAATTAAACATGATTATTACGTGATAAAAATGCATAAATACTATAAAAATACGATAAGACTAATGTATGTATATATATGCGACGAAAAAAAGAATAAGAACTGAAGAAGAGTTATTAAGTATGAAACTATCGAGTTAGTACACTACTCGTAGTTACAGGCTTACAGACAGTCCACGCAAATAATTCATTAGTCACGTAAAATTTAAGTTCACATTCAACAACCAACACGTGTTCCTTCAATTGACCATTTGCGTTCGACTTGCCCATGACCAACCACATTTAGCGTCTTCTAGTATTGTAATTGGTTGATTATTATGATATAAGTTGTTAACAAATAATAAAAAAGGTTGTCAAATATATTCGAGTTCAAATAATAAAAGAGGGCGTTGTTCTCTTTAAAGTCTTAGGTTCGAATAGTTGTATTTGTAGAATGTGTGCGCGTTATCAATGATTAAAAAAATTCTGAATAGATGCTACATTGTAATCACCTCAAATTATTCATAAAAAGTATAAAATCTTATTTGAATATAAAATTAAAATTTTAAACTATTTAATCAATATAAAATTATATTATTGCACATTTATTACATGCAAGTGTAGCATCAACTTAATCATTAATTTAATAAGTAATATAAATAATATTATCCCATTAAATATGAAAACAATGAAATATGAACAAACAAAACAGATTAGCCTAGAAATTGGCTAAAAGAAACAATAGTCCACTTCACATCGATTTGAATGCATGTGAGTGAAATTGAAAAAAAAAAAATAATTGAAGTTGAGTAGAAGTCCAAGAAATTAGTTAAACTGTCCAATCCCCAATTTCTCCATTGATGAACTTGTTGACCTTACATGTGATAAGAATATGTTTATAGCATAAATGATACATTAATTAAAATATATATTAAACTTTGATTCTGATAGATCATACATTGTAAAATAAATGAATAATATTTAGATTAATCATAATTAAAATTAATTTTATTTATTTTATAAAAGTGTATCGATCATAATATAAATTATAAAATAATATACGAATTGTTATAAATTCTATTATATGTGGCCGTATTTTCACTATTTTAACTACCTATACTATAAATTTTATAATTTTATAATAAACTATCAGTACGATCTCCCTCAATTATCTTAGTTTTTGATTGATTATTGTCGATAAAGATTTTATTATGATATTGATGACTACAACTGTTACTCAACTTAACTTGAAAAGTCTAATATGTTTTTTCTTATTTATCTATTAAAATGTTTTATTTATTTTTTGTTATATTTGATTTTATTATTTATCAATAGAGTAAATCATTAAAATGTTAAGTTGTGATAGTATAAATGATGTTAAATATAGATAAAATTATTGAGGATAATAGTTATTTATTATTAGACAACATTTATAAAATTAGGGTAAACTATAAGGATAGTCCCCTTTGTTTTTGTTTGATCGATTTTGGTCATCGATTTAAAAATTAAGTGTATTTGGTCCTTTATGTTATCGGTTCATTTGGTTTAAGTCTCTTGTGTTATTGGTTCGTTCGATCAGATAACGTAAGGGACCAACATATTTAATTTTTAAATCGATAACCAAAATCGGTTAGATAAAAAAACAAAAGAGACTATTCGTGTAGTTTACCCAAAATATTATTATATTTTAATTTATGTTATAATCTTTTTGGTTTAGTGACCCCAATGTAAGTTTTAAAGTTTAATGATCAAAATGAAAATATTTAAAAGTTTAGTGATCACCATATTAACATATGTACACTACAATTATGAAAAAAAATGTACGAAGATAAAATAAAAATTTTAATTTTGAATAAAATTTAGGATAAACTTCGTTAATATCACTTAATTTTAAAGTTCAAATAAATTTTATCTCAAAATTTGTTTCGATTTTTAATTATGATACTAAACTTTCATTTTGTTGCAATACAGGCATTATATCATTAAAACTTAAATAATGTGATGATTTGGACGAATCTTTCTATGATAACGATAACATAAACAAAAATACAATATGCTCTATAATTTTTTTATAAAATTAGTTCCCAACATTTACCTTAATAATTACTTTGATCCTTGATTTTTGAAGCAATTTAACCTCCAATTTCAGTTTTGATCAAAATAACCTTTATATTGATAAAAGTCGTTAGTTAACTAATTAATGGTTAACGCATGTTGTTAACGTAAATTTTTTACATTTACTTAATTGTTGACATGTCATATACTATAATAATGATGTAGCATGTGTCATATCACCAATTAAGGAAATGTAAAAATATCACATTAGTAGCATGCGTTAATCGTTAGTTAACTAACGATTTTCATTAAACAATGGTTATTTTGACTGAAAACTAAAATATTATAGACTAAAATACTAAAAAATAAGAATCAAAATGATCATTTGAATAAACAACGAAGATTAATTTCTTTTATAGATGAACCAATGAATTAGATTTAATAAAAATAAATAAATCACAAGATTTATTTTGTAAAATTTCAATCAACGTGGATAATGATCCACAATTGTGACTGACCCAACGGCGGAAATGGTTTCAGTAGCGGCGGCTCCACCCTCATTCGACACTGCTACGATCACTCGTTTGATTCGAGGCCTCGATTCTGAAGAAACTCGAGAGCAGTCTCTTGACCTTCTGTGTAAGGTATGTGATCCAATAACACATTTGAAAGAGTTTGAACTTGTATATAAGATTATATTATATGTCTCTTGACCCTCATTCGTTTAATTCTCATGCATCTCTAGAACAGTACTATTCGTCTACCATACCAATGTTATTCTCCAAGAAAATCATAGATTTGCAAGCTTTATTGATACATACAATGCCCACACCAATTCGATACGAAATCATTGTTTACCTTTACATTATTCAGGTAATAACTTCAGCTTACCGTCCATTATTATCCGATAGCCTTAAAGAACGAGCGGTAACACAAGTTTGCAATGCCATGGCGCTTCTCCAGGTCCATTCTTCTATTTCCTCTTTTGTGCATGAACATTGCCAAGTTTTAGTCTTTATTCATAGCATGGACGAACTCAAAATTTTATGTTATGTACAGGGAGCTTATAAAGTTTTAAGGGGAAACAAGTTTTATAAAATTTTAGGGACGAAAATAAATTTTCAATATAAAATATAAAGAAAATATCTAAAAACATATAAAATTTTAAAAATTTTAAGGGGCGACCACCCACCAGCACCGTGTAAATCCATCCCGACTCATTGGTTGATTTTTCTACTTCTATCTTGGAAGAACTTTCATGGAGATATATTTTTCAGTTTCATATATTATTCAATGATTCTATCAATGGATACTGGTCCGAACATGTATTATAGTATTGTATACAATGAATTGTTGCTATTGTAGCCTACATTGATATCTTAAGCTTGGAGCTAAGAATTTAAATGATGATTATTTTCTGTATTTTTACATTATGATAATTTTTATTTATTTGAAAAACTTAATTATCCATTCCTTGTAACTTCACAGTCTGTAGATTCTCACCCTGAAACAAAGATGCCATTCATTAGAGGTAATTGAACTTTTAGTCCTCCAAATAAGTGAAGTTTTGTGAATTAGTGTACCTTTTATAAAAATATTTGTTGGTTGCATCATAAGAATTGTTCTAATTGAAATATTTCTTTGTAGCTACTATGCCAGTGTATCTTTATCCCTTCTTGAACACTATGAGCGGTGAAAGGAACTATGAATGTCTAAGGCTCACTAGCTTAGGTGTCATTGGCTCGCTAGCAAAGGTACCCTTCCCTCACATCTTCTCTTCTGTATTCGTCTCAATCTCTTGCAGGATACATACATCATTAGAACTCATGGAATTTTATTGAATGGTTTTTCTGTTAATATATTGTACTTCCTTTCTATTCGTGTTTTTCGAGTTTTCGATTTATGCAGGTTGATGATCCAGAAGTGGTTGAATACCTTCTTTCTACCCAAATATTTCCTAGTTGCCTACGCTGCATGGAGTTTGGCAGAACGTTGTCAAAAACAGTGAGTGACTGCACTTTCTTCAAACATAGAAATCGATAAATGTTGTATGATCAGTTGTTTCACGCTCTTTCTCTCTCTCTCTCTTTTGTTTGCATGTCCATATCAATAAAAAGTTAACAACACTAGAAATGAATCAAAACCAACAATTCCTATTGGCTTATAAAAATTTCAGGCTTGATAAATTATGGGTACTTTAGGGGGGAATAGAAGAGTTCGTATTAACATAATTGGCTATATTCTTGAAGCTAACATTATCAGCTGCTAATATAATAGACACTACAGGTTGCCAATCTTACTGAATGTGGAAGGTCTCAAGTACTGTTTCACACTTGCGGAGCGATATCTTTGGGTAAGCCAATGTTTGGCAAAATTAGTGGAGAGACTTGGTGAAGAAGATGAAGAAAATCTGCCGCGCCTGCTGAGAAACATCATCGGTTGCTATCTCAGGCTCTCCGAAAATCAAAGGTTAGCCAAAAATACATGTTCTCTATGTACATAAGAGTGTGTGTGTGTGTATATATATATGATATTTAGTATTTACCAGTTTATTCTTTAATGTTTGAATTTTGAAACTTGTTTTTTCTACAAGTAGGACACGACCACAATTGTCAAGCTACATTCCTTGGAAGCTGATGGATTACAAATATGTCAATATCCTTCAAGTAAGCTTCAGAAACTACATGTATTGAATCTGGTTCTTTTGCCTTTTGAACAATTCCTCATGCTATTTTCCTTTGCAGGGTGATCCAGAATCCCTTGGTAACCTACGACAATTGATCTGCAATCTAAAAATCAGCCAGAACTCCACCACTCGATCTACCGGCGAGTCGTCAGAGTCGTTCATTCAATGATGGAGTGCAATTTACCTTATTCGGGCTGGTCAAGGCTGTCACTTGGAATACACAGTACACAATATCTATCCCTTACATAAACTTAACTTTTTAGAATGTAGACTAAAAACATAACTTATTATCAGAAAATTTGATTTTACAAATTTAATTGTTTAATGTTGATAAATTTGACACATAAGGGTTTGAAGTGCCGATTACTTGGCCTTTCCAACGGCTGTGATTTTACCAGCTCCTCCACTGATTGAATCATACCTTTGAAACACGTTGGCTAGAATTAACGAAGCCGACCGTGTCACGTAATCCTTTCCTGCACATTGCTTATTTGACTCACTAGGGGATCCGGTCTGAGGCCCGTTCGACCAGAACAAGTAACTCAACAATTCCTTTCCTTTCCCCACGAACCGGTCCGGCTTGAAACTCTCCGGTTCATCGAAGATGTTATCGTCTTTCATAGCCAACGGCTGATACCCACACAGCAACTCACCCTTTTTGACGTCGAAAACCGAGTCATGAGAAGTGAGTTCAAAATCCTTCCTCGCTCGTGCATATTGAAGCGTGACAGGCGGGTTGAACCGCAACGCCTCGTAAACAACTGAGTTCACTAGCTCCATATCTTTCACCGAGTCAAAACTCAAGCTCGTTGAAGGGTCGGATAGTTTTCTCACTTCTTCTCTAAGCCTGGCTTGTAACCCGGTTTTATCAGTAGCCACAGTGTTGAGCAATGACGGAAAAAAAACAGAGAAACCACCAATGGCATTGAACCCAAGAACGAAGATCAAGTTATGGATTGCTTCCGGTAGAGGAAGGCCGAACTCTTCGGCGCCGCGCCGCACAACTTCTCCGCCGTGCTGTTCGATGAAGTTATAGAGTTTTTGGTAGTCTCTTTTTATGAAGGCGAAAGGGTAAGCGTAAGAGTGGAGGAATACCTCTTCGAGGGGCTGAAAGATGAGGAGAGGCATGACGGGGAGGACTTGTAGGGCGAGCCAGGTGTTGAGGGTGGAGGGAGCGGACTTAGCGAGTTCGGGGTCGATGGCGGGGTCGGCGCCGACGAGGGACCTGGTGAGGAAGTTGAAGATGAAGTTTTGGAGATGTGGGGAATAGGATGAGCTGCCTCCTTTGGCAATGTCGGATTCAATGGCGTCCAAGAATTTGTGGAGGGTTAGCATGGAGCTCTTTCACCCACACGTTGGAACCCCGCTTCAGTATGTCTATGACAAAGTTTTTGATCTGTGTTGTTTATCAATTTATCTAAACGGTCATGAACTGAATTTTTAATAATAAGAATAATACAAATCAGTAGAAATTCTATTAAGTTACATAATTGAGGATGAAACTATAATTAATCCTATTCCAAATAATTTTATTCATTATAAAAATCTCTTAACTATAAAAGACGAGGTGATAGTGGGAAATCAATCAACATCTCGATTAGAAAGCACGTCAACCAACGATCACTTGGTTTAGTGGGATGAGATATTAAGTTTTTTAAGTAAGTTCAGGGATTCGAATCCTGACATTTACGAATAAAACAAATTAGGTTGGGCTGCAGTACCTGATCTGAATTAGTTCCATTGCTTTAATTGATTGATATATATAATGAAAAAATATATAAAAAATAATTAAAAATTATTTTAATAAGATATTTGAAATAATGTATGCAATAACTACTCCATTTTCGCCATCCTTTTTCTATTTCTTTTTCCCATTGGCTTTTCCTAAGATCCAAACAGGGTGTTTGGCAATGACAGAGTTACCCTTATGAAAGGGTATCCATCTACACCTCAAAAAAGAAATTTTATTTTCTTATAAAATTTATATAAAAAAAGCCAAAAATATTAAAAAAATATTAACACTAGTAACTTATTCTTATCCATTGAAAAAAAGTATATATAAAATTTTCAATTTTAACACCATAATTTAATTTCTTTTAATAGTCTAAACAATTGTAAAATAATTATATGTTTATAATTTTTCAGTCAATTAATAATGCACATGTATCCTATAGATTATAAATACAATTATTCAAATTTAAAACTTTTAAAAAATATAAAATATAATATTCCCTTTCATTACCTATATATTCGCAATTTAAAATTTTCTTACATCTATTTCCATGACAAAAGAAATGAAGAGATTGTCTGTATAAACTGACGTGGTCCCTTCACATTCACACCTATAGTTAACAAATTTATCCGTCATAATCAATATGATTTATGAACATTTATTAATATGAATATAATTTAAGTACATTTCAATAACTATAATATATTCATGAAAAACATGATATTCGGCTCATGTTTTTTATTTTTATTAAGTTTGATAAAAAAAATATTCAAATTATATGAATTTCTTATTTGAATGTTTAAATTTTATGTCAATTCATGTGTTTAATATTTCTAACGTTAAATTTTTAGGTGTTTTATTTATAATGGACATTAAATTTCATCAACAAATGAAAAATGTCATGCTCAAATAATTTCAAAATTTTATTTTTTAAATATACAATTTTTTAAAATTTAATAAAGATGATATGTGTCATTTAACAGCCAAATTTAATGGCGATAACGGTCAAGGCACCTAAAACTATAACGTTGAAAATATTATGCATCTAGATTGATCAAAAAATAGTTTAGACACCTAAATGAGAAAAATGTATAGCTTGAACACTTATTTTTATATTACGCCTTTTTATTATGCTAGAAACACAAGAGATATTATTGTAGTATATATAAGCGAATCGAATTAGCAGCTGAACATAAATTTTTTTAAAAATATTATAATTTAAAACATTTAAATTTAAAAAAAAATTATTTAATCTCCCAAATCTTTAGAAATTTAAATCAAACATTAAATTTTTAAATATTCTTAATTAAATCCTCTCATAATAAAAATAAATCTTATTAAATCTCTTAGAATTTTAAAAAAAATAATTAAATCCTAATTTTTTGGAAAAAATTGTAAACTAAACCTTCAAAAGTTTTGAAATTTTTTAAGGTGTTAAGTTGAGCCACAAACTCCATCGCCAAGTGGAGTAAGTTTTACTTACTGTGTTTTTCTTTAAATTCAAATTCTTGAAGAAGCATCCGAGCTCTCAAGTTAATCAAAGAGAAAAAAGAAAATGAAGAGATACCTGGGCGTGTTTGGGTTCAGAGGTATCAAGATAAGCGCAAACCCTGGAGCCACTCGTGAAGTCGGTGCTAGGCATGAAGTCGCCGACCAAAACATCTTTTTTCTCGACAATTTCCATGTCGAAAAGATGAGAGAAAGATTTGCAGTCGACTACGGCGATGACGTTGGGGTTCACTGATCTCGAAAAGAAAGGGAAACTCGGTGGAACGTTGGTACGGAAAACGGTGCAATTTTGCTTCTCCATTCTCGACCTGAAGAACGCGTCTGGTCCTTGGAACCAGAAGTAGTCTAGACGGTCGGATATTTGTCCTATCAAAGGCCAGCCTTGTGATCCCGGGATCGTACGGCGTGGGATCTTTGATGATGATGATGGTGGTGCTGATAGAGACTCAGTTGCCAACGGTGGTGGTGATGGGGTTATGTTCATCATTCTGCTCATCATCATGGTTTAATTTTTAATATTACTCTTATTTTGGATGTTAAATAAAAGTTTAGTGGCTAAGTTTCTAAACTATTGCTATCACGTAATTGAAGAAACTAACAGATATATTAGCGTTCGCAGGCTCTGGTTTTTATCTAATTTTTAATGGCTTTCCAAAACTTTTTCAATTTGCTGATAATACCACTTGGCCGCTTTTCTTCAACCTCCACCATCGTTTCGGGCAAGTTGTTCAACGAAGCTCCGATGCCATCGAAAGCTTTATAAAGCTTCGGGTAAAGTTGATCCATGGACTTCTTGAATTTCTTCGACACCTTTATCTTTTCATCTGATGTAATCCGCCCATCATCAACATCGAAGAAGCCGATTGAAACTCGACGGTGTCGATAAGCAATGCAAGCTCTCAATATGACGCTCCCATGTTCCTTAAAGTGCGCGGCGATGAATTCCTCGAAGTTCCTCAACGGCTTATTCAGCAAAAACAGCATCGTTTTGCAAGACAGCGGGAAAACATCGGCGTTGTAAGCCTTCCACGAAGGAGCCGGTTTAGGTCCCGGCTCGTTGTAGTAAGGCTTTTCGTTAAGAACAAGTCCCTGAAGAACCGTTGATTTGTTAGGGTCCCATCGCTCAGTCTGTTCGCCGGTCCAAGTGTTCAACAAGCTAAAACAAACGTACCCATCTCTGCATAAATTAGGGTTTAATGTTAGACCGAAAGAACGGTAACGTACACTGGGAGGACGATTGGGATAATCGGAAGGGAATTCAAGGTCGAAGAAGAAAAGCCCATTGTGATAAGGAGTGTTTCGAGCACCCATAGTTGCAGCTCTCAGAAAATCGATCCTCCGTATACCCTAACAACGATCGATTCCGGTAGATCTTTTTCCAGAATTTCCCATTCTTTCATGATCCTCCTTATAGTTCTCTTATCATTGATCTTTTCACCGCACTTCTTTTGCTTCGACTTCTCTGTAATGTAATAGTAATGATCTGAGAAATCAGTAACGCAATCGAATTGCTTGAATTTAACACCAACTTGCTCAAGCCCTGCAATTTCACGGATCAAACAAAAGATGCAAAAAAACAATATGGAGAATTTAACCGAAATTTCTTCATAAAACGAGAAGAATAATTAACTTTAGCTGGGATTACAACAGAAGAGTGGAGCGAGTTGAAAGAATATAACTAAAGCCATTAGTTTACGATTGCTAAAGAACTCGGTTGACAGACTCAAGTATAAATCTTAAGTTAAAATTTACGGTTTTTGTTATTTAAGTTGTTTTTTTAGTTACGGTTTTATTAGTATTTTAATAACTAAACTATACATAAAATAGATATGCATTAATTACACTTTTGGAGGAAAATTTACAGTCGATGAATAAGAATGGAAAGCAGTAGAAGAAACTCACAGCATTAACAGTAGTCTCCAAATTTTGTGCAACTCCATAAGCGAGTAAGACCAACAAGGCATTGTTCAAGTGGATTTTGTTTTGTAAGCACAACTGGATAAGGCGGAGGGAAACTCGTAATGTTTGAAAAAAATGAAAATTATAAAGTTTTTGAGATAAATCATATTTAAAATAATTGTTTAAAGACATTTGATGTTTTAATAGTATAATTGTTTAAATACATTTGATGTTTTAATAGTTGTTTAGGGAAAAAAGAAATATTAACATTTTTGTTAATATTGTCACGTCATCAATTTAATAGGATGATGATAGAGTGATCATTTTGTTACAAAACGATAATATTAGAAATCAATTTGTTACAAATCAATAACATTATTTTTTTTGGATAAATAATTTATATTCTATCAAGAAAAAACAGACATGCTACTACAATCAACAAGTTACCTCAAAACAAACCCCAATTCAAACATAACTGCCTGTTAACATCATCAATCCTAGGCTTGCCATATCTACTCAACTTAACTCTAACAGCTAACTTTATACTATTAACAAGAGCATCAACCGAGCGAGATGAGCGTCTAAAGAGCCTGTGATTACGCTCTTCCCAGACCGAATACAGCAGACCAGTCCAAGCGAGCCTAAAGATTCGAATTCTGAGGGATTTGCCTTTCAAGTTTGCTATCAGCCAATTGAAAAGATCCTCCCAGTTGGTCAGAGTATAACAAACACCACAGGAAGTTAGAACAATATCCCAAACTTCCTTTGCAAAACAACATTCAATAAAAAGGTGATCACGAGATTCAGAACTAGAGGCACACAGACCACAAACATTATCAATAGCCAAGCCGAACCGAACAAGCCGATCTTTAGTAGGCAGCCTATCGAGGATAACCATCCACGAAATAAGAGAGAACTTGGGAATATGGGCAGGAAACCAGATCAGCCTGTGCCAGTTAACCTTCACCCTACAATCCCTGATATTGTCCCAGATCCAATTACCTCTAATAAGGCTCCAGTTCACACAAGGAAGGAATAATCGGCGAGCCTCCTCGCGCAGACTCAGCAGTTTGCTCAGGATCCAGCTGAAGTGGGCTTTGCACTCTACATCCCAGTATCTAACTGCTTTGAAGTAGTATTATTTGATCCAGACGATCCAAAGTGAACCTTCATTAGCCAATATGTTTCTTACAAGGAGCAAACAACATGTTTTATTCCAGACCACAAGACTTCTAAGGCCCAAGCCACCCTCAGACTTCAAGGAGCAGATCTGGCTCCAACTCACTCGAGCTCCTTTTGCTGAAGAATCACTGCCCTTCCAGAAAAACGCATACAAAGGCGTTCAATATCCTTAATAATTCCCTTAGGCAATACCACATGTCTACTCCAATAGTTAAACATGTTGAACAGAACAGTTTTAATCAATTGGAGTCTACCACCATAACTCAGGTTCTTGTTAGACCAGTGCCTAAGCTTATCCTTAATCTTTATCAGAAGTGCCTCACAATCTTTACCAGAGAGCTTGCGGGTCACCAGAGGCACCCCAAGATACCTCACAGGAAGTTGTCCCAATCTGAAACCAGTAACCAAACTGATTTGCTCCAATTCAGACGCATTCAACCCAACATAGAATTCAGTCTTCTGTGCATTCAACTTGAGGCCAGACAGCTCATAAAACCTGTCTAGAGTGCTTTGGACTCCCAACACAGCATCCAAAGAGCCATGACAAAAAACAAGCAGATCATCCGCAAAGCAAAGATGAGTGAGGGAAATTCTTCTACACTTAGGGTGAAACTTAAAAATACCATATTTGGCAGCAGCATCTAAGAGAGAGGACAGAACATTCATGGCAATAACAACTAGGTAAGGAGATAAAGGATCCCCTTGCCTAATCCCCCTAGCTCCTCTGAAATACCCCACCAAGCTACCATTTAAAGAGAGAGAGAAAATAGGGTAGTAATGCAAGCCTTAATCCAATTACAAAATATCAAGGAGCCCTATAGCAGCAAGAACACTCAACAAGAAGCCCCAACTAACAGAATCAAAAGCCTTCTGTAAATCAATTTTAATTGCACATTTAGGAGAAAGACTCTTCCTAGAGTAGCCCTTAACAATTTCCTGGGCTAGCAAAGTGTTGTCAATAATGCTTCTACCCTTGACAAAGGCTGATTGACTAAGAGATATCATACCAGGAAAGTAAGGGGCAAGTCTGTTAACTAAGATTCTGGTGATAGTTTTATAAACTACTGAACAGCAAGAAATAGGTCTGAATTCCTTAGCAAGGCAAGCATTAATAGATTTAGGCACTAAAACAATAGTAGTGGCATTGAAAGCTGACAGCAAATAGGAGGACTGGAAAAAATACCTCACAGCAGAAGAAAAATCAGCACCTACAATGTCCCAGGCAGCCTTGTAAAAACCAGAGGTGTACCCATCAGGACCTGGGCTCTTGTCCTTTCCTTGCTTGAACAGGGCCTCCTTGATCTCCATATCACTCACTTCTCTAATTAAAAAATCAGCAGCTCCTTCTGGCAGGGAGTAGTTTAGCAGGTCTTTCAGAACCTCAACGAACAGCTATTGACATAAGGATCCTCAACACCAATCAGATTAGTGAAGAATCTCACTAATTCAGCAGCCATACCCTCAAAAGTATCATAAAATTGACCATCTTCTCCTTTAATTACTCTAATGGTATTTCTTTTTTTATTAGATTCTACCCTCTGATGAAAGAACCTGGTATTGAGGTCCCCCTCATTCAACCAATGCAACTTAGCCTTTTGTCTAAAAAACTCAGATTCAGCTACTTCCAAATTAACAAGCTCATCTTGAATTCGTTTTTCCTCAGCAACTCTCCTCTGCTCAGCATGAGTCAGATTAAAAATCTGTAATTGCTCCAGTTCAGCTCTTTTCCCCTTCACTCTACCAGAAATGTCAGAGAAAAACTCCTTATTGAGCTCTTTTAAGAGAGGTTTAAGCCTTCTCAATTTGCAGAACAGAACTTGCATGGCAGGACCTGCACAATGCACTTGCCATGAGTCTTTGACTATGCTAAGAAATTTCTCATGGGAGACCCAACAATTAAAAACTTGAAAGGCCTAGGCTTCTTAGCCAAAGCACCCTTATGTGTCCATAATACCCCAAGGCAATGATCAGAAACTCCTTGTGCTTTGAATTCCACAAAAGAGTCAGGGTAATCAAGTAGCCACTTAGGATTAACCAGAACTCTATCTAGCTTCTGGGCTAAAAAAGAACCTTCCTGCCTATTGGACCAAGTAAAGGTAGGCCCAAGGAAAGGGTGGTCCATCAAGTCAAGCTCTTCCAGGCAGTCTTGGAACTCCTTCATGTCAGAGGAATTGTGGACTCCCATAGTCTCAAAGTCAGAACTTTCCTCAGCTCTGGCAATTATGTTGAAGTCCCCACCAATCACCCAAGAAGAGGAACCAAGGTCATTCTCAACAGTCCTCAAATGCTCCCAAAGACCTCTTCTAGCAACACCAAAATTGCTACCATAAACAGCAGTTATAACAGTTCTGAGGCCAGCAATATTACCAATGATGGAAATGGCCTGATCACAACAACTCAAAACAGCAAAAGACAATTGCTTCTTCCAAAGAATCCATAACTTGCCCCCCTCCACACAGTCATAATTTCCAACCAGGTTCCAATCAGCAGAAAGGGCAGAGGAGAACTTAACAGAATTTTCCCTTCTAATCCTGGACTCCATAAGACAGATAACATCCACTTCACAAGAATCCAATCTCTTGAGCACTTTCAATTGTTTTAGGGGTTATTAATCCCCCTAACGTTCCAAAAGCTCACTATCATCAAGAAGAGGCAGAGACATCACACACAGTACCCAAATTCACCACATTACTCTTTGTTTTATCCAAATGATCCCTCTTCTTTGCCTTGATCTCATTAAACAACATGGCTACACCCATAGAGGCAACCCTAGTCTTCCTAAGACCATCCACCAAATAATCTGGCTTACTGGAGGAACCAACAGGCTCTTTTTTCTTGCCCCTAGTCTTCTTCTTCAGAGAATCCTGAAGTGAAGGAAAATCACAAGGCTTGACAACTCCCTCAGCATTCAAAATAGTGGACTTGTCAGCAGTAACAGTTGGCAAATAGTCAGTCCCCAGGCCAGCAGCCTGTGTGGCCACACTAGGTTCCTGCAAATCATGGACAGAAGACTCCATGACAACACCAACCTGAAGATTCAAACCATGAATCCCCCCAATGAACTACCCGGAAGAGAATCAAAAATCTGTCCAGAAGCTTCAGCATTACCATTCAAAGAATCCTTACTTCCAGTCCCCCCAGGAAGAATACCTTCTTTCTTCCTCCAGACTTGGACTTCTTTAGGCTTCACAGAAGTTTGCCTAACCACAGAACACGAATTAACATGATGC